GTGTTCCAGCAGAATGCTCCTGACAAAACATCCGCGTGGAGCTCATGCCCAAGGCTTCAGATGCCATCAGGCAGGACACTGACAGGATGCTAGGGTAGCAATCAAAGGACCTGCAGTCATCCTCTGACTATTCCCGAGAGGGAACATAACCCAGCTAATGGAACCTGGAAGAGTGGGAATTTCAAGCCAGAAATCTCTCACCTCTCGGTTCCTTGGAAGCTAATACTCTGCCCGCCTCTTCATAAGGCATAAGAGAAGGCGCAACGATCTGCAGAAACAACTCCCCCGCCACCCCGTCCCATCACTCCTTCCCAGCATCTCTAAAATGAATGAAAAACCTTTGCTTTCTTCCCCCAGAGAGAAGACATATTGAAGCAATCACTGGCCCTCGGCAGACATTGAGTCCCTCTTGACACCAGCCACCATGTGATGGCAAGCCAAGCAGTGGTTTCCTCCAACGAAGCCTGGGGGGCGGGGAGGGGGGGTGGAAGGCAGCTATTGCCCTCAGTTCTGAGAGTGCTTCCTTTCATCCCGTCCTTTTCCCTCTCAGACACAGTGATTTCTCCCCCTCCCCCAAGCCACCACAGTCATCTCTCAGGGCATTTCAGCCATGCCCAGAGAGATGTGACTGAATCCTGCCCCTGTATCTGGCCCTGGCCCTTTAAGCAAGCCGTTGATCATCTCTGGGGCTTGTGGCTGCTTGGAAAAGGCACTTGACCGAGGGTGTGAAGGGGAATACGCTTCCCTGTGAAGCAGCTCCTATGTGCCGGACGCTGCGCACTTCACCTAATTTCTGTAACCTCTAACCCCTGGCACAAGGTTAAGGGCTAAGCAGACCATCCAAGCTCTCTGAGTCCAACACACAATACTCACTACTGAGTCAGACAGTCTGAGCTCTTGACATTCAGGAATTTAATCCTCTAGATACCCTGGGAGACAAGTACCTTCACGAACACTCTACCAAGGAGACACAAAGCTGTAAGGCAGGCTGCACTGGGCTCACAGTGAGTAGACATCAGAATTAGGGGATCACTAACCCCACTGTGCCATAGAGAGCACACATTTAACCTTCTGCTCTTCTCCAAGAGCTTCCAGACCTACAGGTTCTGGATGGAACAGCAAGGCTGCTCACTGGTAGAACAAGCCAGAAGCAGCCATGTGTTATTTCCGCTAGCATCCCGGTTTCCCCAGCCTGACCTTCTCAGCTCTATCCTACCACAAAGCCCTCCCCTCCCTTGTTCTCCTTTGCCTCCACTCATTTTTCCTGGGACTGAGGAAACGTGAAGGATAGGAGAGAGGAAGGTAGGCGAAAGAGCAGGAAAGGAGGGAGGGAAAGTGGGGAGGGGGTACCCCTGCAGCCTACAGGTGCATGCTCCGGAGGCAAGGGACACTTTCTGTCCTCCAAATCCTCTGTCCCTCTGCATGCTGAAGCTTGCGATTTGATTTAAGGCTCTTGTACTCCAGCCCTAAATTGGGTGCTTTCCATTGTGATGCCAGGGTGGGACAAAGGGACACAGGAGGGGAAGAGGAGGAAGGACAGGCGGGGATGAGGAGGGGGGAGAGGGAAGAAGGAAGCCATAGGTGAAGAGGTGACAAGGAAGATATAGAGGGGAGAAGAGCTACATTTGTGAGCCCAGAGTCGCCCACATTGTCCCGTATCTCCTACAGGCCTCCTGTCTGTCCAGGGCACCCTGACTTGCAGGAAGAGCACGTGAAAGATGGGCAAACAGGGTTGTTTAAAAAGGAGCTCCGCGCCGGGCGGTGGTACGCACACCTTTAATCCCAGCACTCGGGAGGCAGAGGCAGGTTCTGTGAGTTGGAGCCCAGCCTGGTCTACAAGAGCTAGTTCCAGGGCAGGCTCCAAAGCTACAGAGAAACCCTGTCTCAAAAAAAAAAAAATAATAATAATAATAATAATTTAATAAATAAATAAGGAGCTCCCGACACACCATGCACTGTGCGTTCTGCCCTCCAGAGCCACGGCTTTCCCTCATTTTGAGAGCAGACCCTGCATTTCTAGAACCCTGTGGAGTGAATAGTGCATCCAGCTCATACCCAGCTGCACAAGCCTCAAGCAGCAGCAATCTGGCCAAGGCCACTTGGCCAGGAGCTGGTGGAGCTGGGGCTCCCATCTGGCCACAAAGCCCATACTGCTCTGGCTCTCACCAGACCCTGAAACCTCTCGTCCTCCAGGGGAAATACAGCCATCTGCCTTCCCTTCTGCCCTGGTGGAACCTCAAATGCTGGCCACTGGCCACTCACACAGCCTCCCAGCACCAAGATCACAGGGCAGCAACCCAGGCAGCCGCATGTGGCCACAGACTGCCTCCCCGCCCATGAATAGGGAAGTGAAACAGACAGCTCTGAGCTGTGCCCTCTGGAAGCAGGGCAGCTTCCCTGCTCCTCCCTTCCTGCCCACAACAGGAGGCTAGAGAGAAACCAGCTGGGCAGTGCCTGGACTGCAGGGAGAGGAGGAGACAGCTGGGGCCCCCAGTCTAAGCAAACACTCTAAAGGCCTAAAGAGAACAGCGGTGCTGCATCTGTCCCCAGGACACCTCTCAGCTCCTCTCCTCCTACTCGACCTTGCTTCTTAGACCCCGAAGCATCCTACAAAGAGCCTCGGAGGGCGTGTGCAAGCAGAGTACCAGCTGCGTGGCTTCCAGCTGAACACGACCCTATGCAGAACTGGGAGTGGGGCAGCACCATGCAGGTTCAGGAAAAGCTCCATCGGCCAGTGGGGGTATGCTCCTTGTGTGTATTCCCCCTCCTCACCCCTTCCAAAGCTGCATTTGGGTCCATCTTTCCCAAACATGAAGTCTGCCGCTGTTCTCAGAGTGACTCATGGTAATAACAAAACTGGTAGGGCATCCGTCCTGGTGCGAGTCCTGCCCCATGGGGCCCTTCCTTCCTCGGTGACCAGCCACCTCCGCCCTGAGCTCCTGGGAGCTCTGTCTGCAGCATATGGCGTCTGCCTGGAATATTTATCTCTCCCATTAGATCTCGGGGAAGTGTCACTTCCTCCGGGACACCTGTCCCAACCCTGTGACAAGTCAGCTCCCATCTGCCCACAGCCTCCCGTGGATTCTCTTCCCCTAGCTCTTCTCACAGCTATCACCTTTCCTCAGCTCAGCTGTCAACCTTCGCTGTCTTCCCTGGAGACTTGATACCAGAGCTATCTCTGTCACATTCTCCCTGTAGTCCCTAAGCCCAGCACAGGGTCGGGCTGGCAGGTAGAATCAGAAACCACCAGGTGAATGAGGAACTGAAAGAGACTTTAGGATGGCATGGGCACCTGAGCAGGTGTGACATGCCAAACACAACAGACAGCAAATGTCAGAGCTGAGCTTCCAAGGATGGATCCTGGTACAGACTGTGCCCTCTGTCTGACCTTGAGGTCTGCCTCTTGCGATGCTAGTTCTGAGAAAATCAAAGGAATGTCATGACCTTCCTCTGTTTCAAATGGACAGCTCATTAACTACCTATTTGCTATGGGCAAGTCATACAGGGAAGTCACTCGGAGCCTCGGATCCACCATCGGCAACATGGGAGTGTTCATGCGTATTTAAAGATTATCTTGATCTCAGAATGAAGAACAAAGGAACCATGCAGTTGATTCAAGTTTTTGGTCATCTTTCCTTGTTGAGCCTAGGACTGTCAACTCACACAGTACGGAAGACATGATGGAACGAAGGCCCGTAGCTCGCCTTTCAAGAAGGACAGCTTCCACTCTGTCTTTCAAGACTTAGTGTTCCTGCTGTGAGGAAGCCCAAGAGCCGTGGGAAGGATGCAGGTAGCAGAGAGAAGAGAGCCCATGACTAGTGCCGAGCCTGGAGATGACAGTCAGCACCAAGTGGTTGGCACTGGGTGCCAGCTGTCCCAGGAAATACTTCTGTCCCCGTTCTACCCCCATCCAGACAGCTTACAACACTGAGTGAATTGAAAGCCGTGATTTTTAAATTGTGCAATTATTGAAAGAAAGAAGGGAGGAAAAGGGGGCTATGAAGCAGCAGCAGACACCAACATTCTTCAGACTCATAGGTTTTGTTTGTTTTTTAACTGTTTTTAGTTCATGTACACTGGTGTTTTTGCCCGCATGTATGCCTGTGTGAGGGTGTTAAATCCCCTGGAACTGGAGTTACAGACAGTTGTGAGCTACCATGTAGGTGCTGGGAATTGAACCCAGGTCCTCTGGAAGAGCAGCCAGTGCTCTTAACCACTAAGCCATCTCCCGAGTCCAATTTTGTTTGTTTGAGACAAGGTCTCCTTAGGAAAGCCAGGCCGACCATGAACCTGCAATTCTTTTAGCTTCCTGAGTCTACAGATGTGTGGCACTATGCCCAGGTTAAAACTATTGATATTTATTGCAAACTCAAGGCAGTGTGTTCCCAGCGGGTACTCTAAAATGGGGGGGGGGGAGATATAATAAATACCCTTCTCCTTCTATCAGTTATGTTCCCTCAGAGAAGCCAAACACAGTGTGTGTGTGTGTGTGTGTGTGTGTGTGTGTGTGTGTGTGTGTGTGTGTGTTATAAACTTCCTTCTCAAGAAAAAAGCATGGCTCATCTCAAAACTGTTTTAACCACATGAGGTGGCTGTCCAGAGTGGGCTGCTCGGAAGGTTATGCAGAGAACACTTTGTGTGGAATCAGCACAGAAAAGGTGCTGTAATCTACTAGTTATGTCTGCTAGGAAAGGGAAAGGAGAGCGACTGTTTTTATGTAGCGTGAGCAAATGCTTTGCAACTCTGAGGAATGAATACCTACACTGCAGCAAGCATGTATCCACTGGGACAGTCCCAGATGGGATACCTGTCATCTTTTTTCCAAGCCACAAATGGTACCCTCTGACTTGGAGCTTAGAGGTAACCAAAAAATAAGGGCTTCCTGGACCCACAAACCCCTGAGACCTTGAACATTAATTTTTCTTTTAAGTACTCTGTTTCAGCGTGCGGTTAGGTATGAAGAATTGTTCTAAAGAACACATTAAAAATTAATTAAAAGACTTGCCTCTAATATTTAATCTTCACCACCATGTACTCTGAGTGATGTATTCCCAGGCAGTGTGTCAGGTCCTGAATAATTAAAAGAGAACGAGGGTGTGACTCAGCCCTTGGCTGAGATGTAGTAGGGTGCAGGATTAGCTCAGAACCCAACCCGCCTGGGGCCAAGTTCTGCACCACCTGGCGGAGTCCCATCTAGGTAGGAGGGCAGGTGCAGGGCAAGCCAAGGGTAGCGTGGAGGAACTGGAGCTAGGACCAGCTCTGTCCAACCGTCAGTCCCTTAGACACCCATCCTTCCCTCTTCTCTCCAGAGAAGGAGGTGGGGGAGGCAGCAGTGAGTTGTGCAAGACTTCCGTCACGGACAGAGAGCGTCCATATTTTTCTCAGGTGGGCACGTGTTTCTTCATGTGACATCTGAGAAATCCAGACCTGAGTAAAAAATCAATGGGAGGATTTAAGGGGAGCCTTCCTGGGAACTGTCTCAGAAGCCTGCTGAAGAGCAAGGCACTGGACATAAGCGCCCAGCCTGACCACCCCTTGGCCATGATTCTGCGGGGCCAGTTCCACTGCGCAGCCCTGACACATGTTCTACTTAGCATTTGGATCTCGACAATAACATGTGGTCTGCACTAATGGGAGAAAGTACTCAGACACAATGTCTGGCAGACAGTAAATGCTCACCACGTGCTAGCTTGGTATTTCTTGTTCTGGATCCTCTACACACTGTGAGGACCAGGCCTCCTCTGCAGCGTGGTCACTGTACTGTCAGGCTCAGAGGGAACTCACACTGTAGAAGCGGATCAGGTACGGCCTGTGGGGGGTGCACTTTGCAGGGGAGACTCCTAACTGGAGTACAACCTAGATGCCAAGAAAAGTGGAAAACTGAAGATTCTCTTCCCAGCTTTCCTGCTCTGGCATTCCAACGCTCAACACACCGAACTGAGGACCTGGACGTGGTCTTCTTCCATCTGAAGATGTCCATCCTTAGGTAAAAGGGGGAAAGACAGAGGGGAGTTTTCATCAGGACACGTGTACATAAGATACAGTTGCCTGGGTTTGAGATCAAGATCAGCTGGCAGTGTTTGTCCAGTACATCCAATGCCTTAGGTTCCACGCCCAACCTGTATACATGCTGCAGAGCGGTGACTTGTGCCTGTAATCCCAGGATACAGGATGCAGAAGCAGGAGGGTCAGATGGCCAAGGTCATACTCAGCCAGCCTGAGATGCATAGGCTCTCTCTCAAAATATAAAGCCACAGCTGTCAGCCACCACCCCCACAGGGACATCAAAGGCCTGATAGGTCTTAGGGAAGGTGAAAAATCTCAACCTGGGAGTCAGGTGTCCGGAGCTGGCCCAGGTGCCCATGGAATATCCACTCTGCTGTGTGACTGTGGAGGTGACCAGCTGCATGGTCAATGTTCAATAATCACGGCCGATTGTTGAGACCCGTAAGTCACTAGAGCCCTCATCAGACAGGGCTTGCAAGCCAAACAGCACAAGTTCAGGCTTGCTTAAGCAGAGAAGAATGTCGAGTATCAGCTCACTTGCAGAAGCCCTAAAGGGATATGTCAGGGGTCAGTCGTTTGCAGAACCCCTGAAGATATATGTGGGTTGCTTAGAAGCAACATAGGCAAGCCATCCATGACAGGGACGGCAGGGACTGGCGTAGCTCTCTGTCATCTGCTGAAATAACCAGAGTCTGCTCTGTGCGCTCAGCTGGCCACCCGTAAAGGGAAAACCCAAGCTACAGAGATCCACAGATAACCAGCTACTTTATAAGTTTGAGGGCGAGGATTAGCACACGAGATCTCATTCTATAGTGTGGCGATGGGCTACCCAGGTGACCTGGGTCTGTTTCATACAATTCTGGTCTTGGCTTAGGTACAGAACCCAGCCTGAGTGTGACATCAGGCCCTACCCCACAATCTCACCACTCACCCATACTACTTCTCTGTCTTATCTGCCATACTAGCTCAATGTGGACTGAAGGACTCCCAAGAAAGAACAGCCTACCCCATTCAACCTCACCACTGCCCTGGTCTGTGTTGTCTTTTAAGAGTCCAAGCTCGTAGTTGGGCAGTGGTGGTGCATGCCTCTAATCCCAGCACTCAAGAGGCAGAAGCAGAAATCAGGACTTCCGAGGTCGAGGCCAGCCTGGTCTATAGAGTGAATTTCAGGACAGTCAGGGGTACACAGGGAAACGCTGTACCAGAATAAAAAAGAGTTCAGTCTCCCATCATGAACCCTGCCTCAAGTGCCGCCCTCCCGTAAGCAGGCACAGTGCTGCCTTCTCTGTCATTTTGTGGGGGGGGGGGGGAGCAGTTACACCACATGGGCATCCTTCCCAAGATTTGTGCCCAAGAATCTTCATTAATAAACCCCTTTCCCCCGACTACCATCCCTGCCATCTTTCCCCTTCTCTCAAGATAGTGGAACTATGTGTTTGTGTGTGTGTAGGGTGTGTATGTGTGCATGCACATGTGTGTGTAGAAGCTAGAGGTCAACAATAAGTGTTTTCCTCAATTACTCCTCTACTTATTTTTTGAGACATGGTCTCCCCTTTAACCTAGATCTCATCAAACCAGCTAGGCTGGCTCGCCAATGAGATCTAGAGATCCTCCTGCCTCTGTCCCCTACCCCGACGCCCCCAGCACTGGGGCTTACAGATGTAAAGCTGCCACAGCTGGCTTTTTCACAGTGCTGGGGATATAAACTCAGGATCCTCATGTGTGTGGCAGACATTTGACCAACCAAGCCATCTCCTCAACTCTGGACCATCTTCAAACGTCTTCATGATCTTCAAAACATAGAGACACAGACCCTCTGTGCTCAAAGATGCTGGCATTTGATTTTAAATTATAATGTTGATGAGGTTTTCCCAACATTGGATCATTCCATGCTCCTTGGGTCTGTCTCTTGGGTCTCTGCCAGAGTAAAGCTAGAGACTGGACCTTGGACATAAGCAGGGTGAATAAGAAGGGAAATGGGAATGACAAGAGGCCAATAGCCAATGTGTAATTAATGGGTTATCACTGTGGGCACATGGGGTTGAGTCCGGAAGGATAAGGAGCTGGGCAATCATCCACAAACTCCCATTCCTCAATGGCTGAGGATGGCTCCCAAGGACATTCTTTCTTTCTTTTTAAAAGAGAGTCCTTTTTATTTTTAATTATGTGTATGGGGGGGGTTGCCCTCGGTGGCCAGAAAAGGACATCAAATTCCCCTGGGGCTGGAGTTAAAGGCAGACGGAAGCACCCAGTGTGGGTCCTGGGTGCGCCATCCCTCCATCCTCAGGACATTCATCTTGGCACTCGCTGTAACCTGCTCCATTTCAGCTGGGCTTGCTTCTGTGTTCAAGCAAGCAGCAAGGCCAGAAACCCAGGGACAAGAGCAGGAGCCATGCTGTGAACAGCAATCAAGCAGCTTCCAGGGCAGCCTGAGGAGGAGGACAAGACCTACAGCACCTGCCACCTTAGGCACTGTCCTCACACTCTAAGGGTTGTTGGAATCAAACAGATGGCTTCCAACAACAGAAGCTGCTTTTCTGAACTGGTGGCTACATGGGCAGAGTGACAGCCAAGCAGCAGGGCCTTGATCCTTCCTCAGGTACAACCAGAGTCTCTACCCTACCCCAGCTCCACCAGTGACACCACCCATGACGATGCCTGGCGTGTAGGGACACAACTCTACCTGGCATCACTCTATTTGAGACTGCTTATATCCAGATTTTTCTATTAATAAGGACACCAAGCAGATGGAGGTGTATCTCCGAGGTTATTGTGCACAGCTCCCTGGGTTTGATCCCCAGAATCACATAAGGCTGGGGGAGGGTGGCACAAACCTGTAACCCTAGCATTCAGAGGGTACAGACCGGAGGAACAGAAGTTGTAGGTTATCCTCGCCTATGTAGTGAGTTCAAGGCCAGCCTTGGGCTACAGAGAACGGAATTTCAAAACAGTGTAAGGACAATACTCATACCGGCACAAGGGCCCAAATTCAAATCCCACATCTACTGGAAGGCCTTGGCTCATCCCTAACCCCTTGCAAGCCTGTTTCCTTATCTGAACACTGGGAATTGGGACAGAACCTCCATACAGACCTATCATGAAGATCAACTGTAATAATACATGGAAAGGACTTAGCAACTGCACAATCAGTAACAGCTGCTGTCTCTGTCCACATGGTCATGCTTCATAGTCCTGAGCCCTAAGACATCATACAACTCTACATGAAGCTCTGGGAACCTGTAAGCCACAGACAGGATCATTTCCGTCTGTTTCTCCTTACCACAGCGTTTCACAAGTGGTTCCGAGTGTGCGTGTGAAGAACAGCATAGCTAGGTCACGACTATCGCCCCCCCCCCGCGCCCCACCCACGCCCCACCCACCCGCATCTTGCTATCGCCCATGGTATAGGCAACTATAAAAGCACTGGTAAAAGCAGCGGGTCCTAATTGCCACCCGCTGCACCGGGAGGCTTTATCTCAGCCCTCCTCGTGGGGGGGGAGGAGGCTCGGGGGAGATGCTCAGATTAACAGCAGCCCTTCCGCCTTCACAAAGGGACGCTGCCAACAGATTTCCTCCCAGCCCCGCTAGGCAAGGCAGCCGCACGCCGGAGGAATGCGAGGCCTCCCTGGCACGGCAGACATTCAAACCAACCCACAAAAGCCTGTTAGGAAACCCGAGGAAGTACCAGCCAGCCCAGAAGGGAGTCTCATCACAACTGGGCTTGATGGGGAGCTCTGAGCCCTGCTCTGCCGCGGAATGTAAGCACCACACCTACACAAGTCTCATTAATTCATCTCACCAGCGCTTACTGAAAAGACCTTCGCAGGGGGTGAGAAGGGGTGCAGCCGCGGGTCCCAACAGGTAGCATTTCTCTGCCTGAGGCTCATCCTGGCTGTGAACCAACACATCAAACGTGCGTGGAAGCTGAAAGGCTAGAAAAAGATTGGGCAGCTTTCTGCTCCAGCCAGGCCCTACCAGGCCCTCCCCGCCTGGGAGTGGCTTCGCAGGCGGCCTTTCTCTGCCTGCATTTTGTGTGGTCTTTTCAATCTCCCACAGAATCAACTTTTTCCTGCCCGAAGCTAGAGATGGAGCCCAGCAGTGGGGCACTTCCCAGGAAGTATCAGAATCCCAGGGCTTAAGGACAGGTTTGGGAAACATCTTGGAGATAGTGAAGAAGGCTGTGGAGAGATGGGCAAACCAACTGGCGGGAAAGAAAGGGGTGCGGTGTGACATACTGCTAAAACCTGTTGACCAGCCTGGTAAAAACAGTCAGGCTTCCTGAAAAAATTGGGGTGTCCACGAGGAAACTGGGGAACAGCCCTTGCACACTCTAGACTATGAAATATTCTGGAGGTTCTGGGGGAGCAAGTGGTAATGAATGTAAGAGGATTAGAATTGCAGAGCCAAAGGAAGTCCAAAGAACTATGAGTTGCTATATTTGGGGGGACATGCATGTCAATGTCCTCTCTCAGCAGATACCAACTGCCATAGAGGGTTGGTTAATTTGAATTATTTTTACCTGACAGAAAGTAATTTACACTTTCTTTTATTTGATCACCTCTTTGGTTTGGTTTTTGTCTTATTTATTTTGGTTGGTTGGTTACCATACATCCAAAGAACCTTGTCAAACTTCATTCTGAAGTTCAGGTTCCTTCTCTGCATACCCCAAGCCCTAGGACATCCACATTTCACACAGGGTCTCAGACTTCAGGATCCAGGCAAATGTCTTCAGATGAAGAAACGGTACAGATGGAGTTCTGACTTCCACCACGGCATCAAAGCTCTTCCTTGTTCTCCCCCCATCCTCCACCCAAGGGGCCTTCGTCTTAGTCTAAGGCTGCAGAACCCAAGGAGTCTTTGGGTAGAGTCTGGGGACACAGTTCAGCAGAGAAATGATGCTACTAGCCTCTAATCCAAAGCCAGCGTGCTCACAAGAACAAGTAACACACCACAGGAGGCGCGGCAGCACCTTTGACTCTATCCCCAAACAGAAATCACACATGTCCTTTTATGGGGACCAGGTACGATAGGCACACCTATCTTGTCTGCCCATCATTCCTGTCAACACCGAGAGCTGTTAGACTCACTGCTAGATCTTAATATCCAATACCGTAACAAAGTGCATGGCTTTTCTTTTTAATATCTTAACAACTGCAGTTCAAAATTCGTTGTTGTGGGCTGGAGAGATGGCTCAGAGGTTAAGAGCACTGGCTGCTCTTCCAGAGGTCCTGAGTTCAATTCCCAGCAACCACATGGTGGCTCACAACCATCTGTACTGAGATCTGGCGCCCTCCTCTGGCGTGCGGGCATACATGGAGGCAGAATGTTGTATACATAATAAATAAATACATCTTTAAAAAAAATCCTTTAAAATTCGTTGTTGTTAGGTTTCTGTTTTGCTTTGTTGTTGAGCCAGTCAAACAGGCCTTGAACTTGCTGTATTGCCAAGGATGGTTTTGAACTTTTGATCCTATTACTTCTATCTTCTGGGCACTGTGATTACAAACCCGCACTATTGATGTAGGAGGTGATGTATGCTGTGAATATGTTTTATTGCCATTGGTTAATAAAGGAGCTGCTTTCAGCCAATGGCTTAACAGAGTAAAGCCAGGATAAAAGAAATATATAGAGAGAGAGTAGGCAGAGTCAGAAAAAAGCCATGGAGCCACCAAAGGAGAAAGACGTGAGCCGCTAGCCAGAACCTTGCCAGTAGGCCACAATCCTCATAGTAAAATATAAAATAATAGAAAAGGGTTAACCAAAGATATGAGTCAGCTAGAAATATGCTTAAGTGATTGGCCAAGCAGTGATTTAAATAATAGTTTCTGTGTGGTTATTTCGGGTCTAGACAGCAGGGACCGAACAAGCAGTCTCTCCCAACACTATCCCATCCAATTTACAGGACTTGACCCCAGAGTTTCTGCACATTAAGTGGGCAGTCTACTAACTGAGCTACATCCCAATCCAAAATTCTTGCTTTTCATGACATAAAATAACAATGACCCTTAAGAAGGGTCTGGGAACTTTCCCATGTGCTCAGGGGTCGGGCACACATAGCAGATTTGGAATGTTTTGCATATTCCCATCTCATTTGGGTGTGAAGAGAGCTGCAGCTGGTCACTGTCCCCCACCGCCACACCACCTCTGTGATCAAGGCTATGGAGGCCTAGCTAACTCTTCCCTGGCTATGCAGCTCCATCCGCTGAATACTGTGCCAGCAGTACTTACTTCCTCCTCCCAGGTAGCTCAGGGTCAGGGCTAGAAGTTGGGTCTACAGAGGGGAACCCTCACCGTCCATGAACTGCAGTCACACACCATGCACCCAGAAGTATCGAGAGCGGAACTTACTAACAGCCACTGGCTCAGAAGGCAGTGTGTGTAAGGCGCTACATCTCCACCTTGGCCACTCTGAGGAAGTGTCAGGAGAACTTTGAAAAATCCCAGATCCCTGATCTCCAGAGAGAGGCTGGTGAATTGGATTTGAAGTGATGCCTGGACATCAAGGTGTTTAAAGCCCATGCTGGTACTGGAATGTACAGCCAGAATGTACAGCCTCAGCTGTAAGGACAAGCCCCAGGCTAGCCCCAGGCTAGTCCTTAGGACAGTGAGGTTCAGGTGTATCTTGGGTGGCAGAGCCTTCCCTGGGTCAGTTTCCATTACAGGCCATGCATTCTGCATGTGGACTCTCTTGACCCTCCTTAACAACGTTGTGACATTACCAAAGGACCCATGGGACCTGTGCTGAAGGCCTGTGTGTCTGACACAGTCTGTGCTCTCCGAAGCACCTCACGATGCTGCCAACTCTCCTATGGAGTTCCAGGAGCATTTACAAGTCCTGATTCTGAATCAGGCTTGGTAAACAGGGGTAAGTGCATTCATCATCACCCCTAGCCACCCTTAAGGTCTGATGGTATTCGCCTTGGGTCTGCAAACCTCTTCATGTTGAAATACAAAGCGGCGGGGCTGCGTCCCCAACACCCCGGCCGCTTGGCTAGCTCATGCCCGAAATAACAACATACAAACTGTATTCATTTAAAGAACTGCTTGGCCCATGAACTCTAGCCCTTACAGGCTAATTCTCGCACCTGGACTAGCCCATTTCTAATAATGTGTGTAAGCACCCCAAGGTGCGCTTACCGGGAAGATTCTAGCCTACATCCATCTTCATCGCGTGTGCCTCAGAGAGCAGAGCTATCGCGTCTACCCGGGAGAGCTGAGCATGGCGTCTGTCCGGTCCCTCTGGAAGCAGGGCAGAGTCTGACCTCACTTCCTCTTCCGCCCAGAATTCTATTCTGTTTACTCCTCCCCCCAGTGCTTTAACCTATGAGGCCAAGCAGTGTGTTTATTACTTAACCAATGAAATCAACAGATTGATATATGACACTCCCACATCATCTTCATGGCCAGCATCTGTCCCGAATGCAGTGTCTGCATCAGGTCAGTTCTCATGGTCAAGCCATCTTCTTCCCGCCCATTTCCCATTTTGATAATGTTGGCCCTTTGTGACCTCCCCCTCCCCCCCATCTTTCCGCTCAGCCATAGACTTGGGAAGCTGAAAACCTTCCCAATTCTGGAGGGGCCCTGATATCATCCCTCTGGCATGTGCTGTAGCTCAGGGGGGTTAGCCTTGATTGTCATTGTGAAGGGATTTAGAATCACCATGGAAACAAACTGCAGGCATGTGTGTGAGGGGTTTCTGAGTTGGGTTAGCTGAGGTAGGAGGGCCCATCCTAACTATGGGTAAGTACCATTCCCCGGGTTCTCAGAGAACAGAGAAAGAGACCTGAGCACCAGCCTCCATCCCTCTCTGTTTCCTGACTGTGGGTGCAATGTGACCAGCTGCCTCACACTCCCGTCTCCGAGACATCCCTCCCTTGGTGGACTATACCCTCACACAGTGAACCAAACTAAACCTCTCATTGCTTAGGTTGGTTTTAGCCATAAGGAAAGTAACCAATCAGACACTCAAGCAAGTGGGACACTAGGAGAGAATTTCAGCCTTCTCTCATGGGTCCCACCAAATGACCCTCCTTCTCAGGCAGATGTGGGTAAGGCATGGGAAGTGTGAAGCTGCAGCCGCCTGACTGTCTCCCTTCATAAAGGAAAAGACCAGAGCAGGGATTCTAAAACCCAATGGTGTGAGGGATGTGTGAGGAAGAAGGAAAGCAGAGCAGAGAGAAACCGGGTCCTCAGAGACATCTCTGGAGTGGCCTTTTCAGCCTCTGCCTGACACTCCCGTCAGGGTATCCACTCACCATGGCCATTCAGTCTGACTGTTTAATGCCCCCATTAAGTTAGACTATGCCTTTTGGCATCCTTAGTTATAATATGCTCTCTGGCTGTGCGAACTCATAGAAGCTTTTGGACCTCTCAGAACCTTGGTTTTCTTTATCTATAAAATAAAACTATCCCAGGATTTTTGCAAGTAGCAAAGAAAACCACAAATGTCAAAAGCTTGGCATACACACACACACACACACACACACACAAACTGGTCACTCTTATCATCAAAACCACTTAGTCCCATTCCAACAGGCCTTCCTTCTAAAACCTATACATGCCCATGGTTTGTTCCATTTGGAGGGAAATGGGGAGGGGGCATACAAATAAACCTAAGGTTTGGGAAGAAGAGCCGCCTCAAGGGCTATGAGTAACGCTGAGAAGGAAGCAAAACAGAAGGCTGAGCTCTGAGAAAGCGTGTCTTGGCAAGGAGCACAAGGGCGCCTAGAGCCATAATTGACTCGGTCACAACACACTCAGACCCTGGCTCCAGCCAGCAGGGCGCATGGAAGCCTCACTCTGCCTCTCTGGACAGGCAATATTCTGACTGCCTCAGCCTTCCTAATTGTGTTGTATTCACAAATCTATTTGTTTGGAACAGGCAAATGCATTGCAGGCAGGAAACAGATCGACTCCAAGAATTTATTTTGCTTTTTGGCGCTGACGCATGGAGCTTAGCATTCATTATGCGCCCCTGTAAAACAGTATCAGAGAGTGTTGGCCTGAGTTAGCTTTTTAATTATATTTATTTTTTCAGCTGCATTTCAGATCATGAACAGACTTGCTGGTATTCAATAAGACCCCGTTGGGTGAAACCTACCTCTGCTCAAATCCCACTGTCAGGATTAAATGTTCTGAGACAGCAGACAAGCCTGTGATGGGTCTGTGAGCCATTATCCCTAATGGATGAGAGATGAGGTTAAGTCGGTCAAAACTCCCTGATCTGAGGCTAGAAAGGTCCACAGGACCCAAATGGATTCACTAGCTTGAAACTGAAGTCAGATGTAAGTGGAGAGATGAAGAGACAAATGGAAGGCATGCAGGACAGGACCACTCACTGCCCTAGTGCCTGGCAATCACAGTGGAGTGTGGCCCTTCTCTTTCATGGTATAGGCATAACCATGTGGTCCTAGAGGGGCCAATCAGAGTCCCTTTAGGGCTATGTTATGGTTTGCACGTAAAACATCTTCCATAGGCTTGTGTGCTTGGACACTTGCTTTCTAGTGGATGGCCCTGTTTGGGGAGGTTGTATCACCCTGGGGACTGTGGTCCAGCTAGCTGAAATGGGCCTGCAGTGGTAGGCCTTGAAGTTGACATCCTAAGTCTAACCTTCCAAGACCACTACCATGGCCCAAACTTCTTTAACTACTTGACTGTCATCCCTCCCCCCCCCACCCCCATCATGAACTTTGCTTCCTCTGGAGAGTCTGTTGCAGCAATAAGAAGGCAATTACCACAGGTCACTAAAGACTAAGAAACAAACAGACTGGCAACATGGCAGGACCTGTACCTGGAGAGCAGAGAGTGTAGGCAACCATGCTGGAAGCCGTGTGAACAGAGAGGAAACAAAACCCCAAGGGACAGTATGGGGACTCAGCTTATTGGACAGAGTGCCGGCCTTACATGCTCAAAGCCCTAAGTTCTGTCTCTATGACTACATTTCTCGGGCATGGTGGCACATGCCTTCATCCCAGAGCTCAGGAGAATCAGAAGACCAAGCTCACCTTTGGCTATGTGTTGAGTTAGTGGACAGGAGACCCTGTCACAAACAAACAAACAAACTTTTTACAAATAAAACAACAAAAAAAAAATCCAATCCAAAGGGAAACGTAGCTTTCATAGGTACATCTGAACAGAGATTATAGGAAAGTTCTTGTATCCCTCATTACAGTCTCCAAGGCACTCGGCCCCCTTAGACTGAATCCCCCTTCCTGTTCTACTGGCTCACATTGTTCCTTCACTTACATCCATACAAGGGAGAACTATGCAACGCAGAGAGCAGTGTGGTGGGAGAATATTTATCAACACAGGAAAGTGCATACAAGATCACTGTTGAGTCAAGAACAGGGGAACACTGGACTGCAGGGCAGATGCTGCAGTAAAGAGAGGGGACTCCTGCTCAGGGGTTCCAGGCAACTGGAAAAGAGGGTCCCTGGTTTGATACTATTGTGAGAGGCTTCCTGATTAAGAAAGCCAGCTCCTACCTTCCCTTCAACAGATATTTTCCCAGCCCTAGTTGTAAGATGGTATCAGTCCACAAGGGAGTAAGGTCACTGCCCCCCCCCCCCCCCCGTCAAGTTCTTTGGTCTGATTGCAAAAGATTAGGTCAGCTCTTGCTTTGGTAGAAAGGGTCATGTGACCAGAGTGGAACAGGTCTCACAGTTGAGGTCAAGTGTGTGCACACAAGGTTCAAAGTCATCTGCCACTTGGAGCTGCAGATCTGAAAGCCTCTGAGAGGTACTCAACCCTGCTCTGGGTTTCCTGAGAGGGGACCCCAATCTGTGTTTTAACAAGCCTTTCAAGTAATGCCAATGCAACCTCAAGTTTAAGAACCTTAGAAAAATAGAATGTTTCAAGACACTCCACTTCCAGGTTAGAAAGAATCTCCAGGTTTCCCTCTTCTAACCACTGTATTTTTAAAGAACATCCAGACACACATGTAGACAGGCCAATGATTGCAACAATCAGTTACATGTCATCCCACACGTTAACTTAATCTTCAATAACTCCTTGAGATAGGTGTGACTTGTCAAGTAAGTCCTAAGCATCCTGTCACATGGCAAGCATTCTGCCATATCTCTAAGTCCAGCTATCCCTCCCCATCTAGGTGCTGTGGCTACTGCACACCCATGAGCAAAGATAAAGGAGCAGGTGTGGGAGTGTGTCAAGCCCACTTCCCAGGAACAACAGACCTCCAAAGGTAGACATGAATATTATTTAGAAACAGTTATGCCCTGCCCAACCCACCCCCAGCAGCTGCCCTGTGCCAGGCCTTCCATCACCCTCTACTGTAGGATCAAAGGAGCGAGGGGTCCCTGCTGACAATCACGATATAGCACCAGCTCAAGTTGCTGAAACTCCGCCCTTCCCAACTGGGTTGGCAAAAACTGCTACCCGAGCTATACACAGGTCACTCCCTGGCCTAGATCCCCTATTGCAACCCTGGAGCTGCCCATGACCCAGGCCACCCTACATCACCTCACCTCACCTATGGCTAAAGACTATACTTAGGGCGTGGGACAGAATGTGGCTTTGATTGTCTTCTTGTTCTGTGTCTGGCTTTTTCCACTATTCTCTGGGACACCTGCTTCTGTCCTGTGATGAGCATCTTTGTGTGGAGGTGGCACCAGAAGGGCTCCCTCCTGGGGAAGCAGTGTCATTGCCTTTCTTTGTCCCACGTCGATTTCATTGGTGCCACCAGACCTTATAACTCACGATGAAGTCACTGCCTCTTTGGCATGGCCTTGGAGACCCAGCTGGGGTCTCAGCAAAAAAAAAAAAAAAAAAAAATCCTAATGTTTCCCAGGCACCAAGCCCACCGGATCAGCATGACTAACCTCCTAATTCTGGAAGACTGGGGACTCACTGAGTGGTCTGGCTTCCTCCAGAGTAAAGCCTATTCATTTCCTGAAGTGACAAGTCTACAGGGAAGTGGGCCAAGAGGGACCTTTGAAGTCCTCAACAACAAAAGGAGGAGAAAGAAGAGAAAGCACACAAGAGCCTCTGGGGACTGTGAAATGAGGTGAGTTTGTGTCTGTCACTGTTAAGACCAAAGATTGGATTAAATCTAGAGGATCTGAAGCGCACACACAGCTCTCTACTCTCTGGAGGCCACAGCAGACATTACCAATCAATCACAGTCCTTGATCCTCACCGACATCCAGCGTCGGAGTCCTTGATGCAACCCCAAGCAAGCACCTCACCAATTGCAAGTGTGGATAGAGGTAAATGGCCTTGGTTCCCCCTCAGGGACCTAGAGAAGGTATAACATTCAGGGCTTCATGGGTACGGTGGCTGAGAGGGTCCCTGGCTAGATGGTCTGCACTGATTGTCCCGACTGGCATTGGGAAACTCTCAGCAGGGTGTACCCT